TTTTTAAAATCCGTCTTTTTTTTAAATTTAAACCATCACACCCTTGACTGCTTGAATATCATTTCTTCTTTTAGAGAAGAAGCAGTTGATATAAGGATCACTAATTACATTGTACGGCAATAACTTCAGATAGCTGAAGTATTGTCTAGAATATCTCCAGATCATCTCCATGATTAAATACAGACGAGGAAATAGGTTTGATCCATCTTAATTTGTTGGTCTTAGTTGTGTTTTTTTTTGAACCTGTGCACGTTCCTTTTCCATTGTCGTGTTTACTTATCTGCTGTTTCTACCTTCCCTGCCGCATTTGGTATACACCATTTTTGAGTTCGCCTTTTGATCTTTTGTGTCATTTAGTCGCAGCAAACGAAAACCAGTTTCTCCAGTCAGTCCTCAACTCCATCTTTTGGTGCAAAAGATCAGCCTTGTGGTTCTTCTCCTGGAACTGTTGCCAGGCTCGAATGTTGCCTGTTTGTACTGGTGACTCCTGGTTGCTGCCTGACCAGAGCACACTACAGTTGGAGCACAGCTCCAATTGCTTTGTTCTTTGGCTAGTTTTCTTCTGTATTTGATTTGGCTTTGTTGCTCCCAGCTCAACAGTTGCTAGATGTACTCCTCTCTTAGCTGCTGCTGAAAGACTGAAATGAATGGTTATCCTTTTTCGAGCTTTCCGGTCTGCTTGTTTAGTTTTCCATGCAGAATATCCCCAGTGAGGGACAAACCTGTGCTGGAAAGACAGCAGGTCAGCCAGCTGTGAAGAGGAAAATGTGGGACTACATTTTCTTCTTCTCTTGCAGAGAAAGCAAGCACCAGTAAATACAACCACAGAGCTGTTCTGTTGTCATTAAAAACACAGCTGACTCATGATTGTCCTTTTGGGAAGGGAAACTTTCCATCCTTACTTGGTCTGGGCTAAGAGTCATACAGCACGGAGACAGACCCTACAGTCCACGCTGTCCACGATCCCAAACTAAACCAGGCCCACCCGCCTGCTCCTGGCCCATATCCCTCCAAACCTCTCCTATTTGTGTACTTATCCAAATGTTTTCTAAATGTTGTAACTGTACCCACATCCACCACTTCCTCAGGAAGTTCATTCCACATGCAAACCACTCTCTGTATATTTAAAAAAAAAAAAAAAAATTGCCCCTTGTGTCTTTGTTAAATCTGTCTCTTTACACCTTAGAAACATGTCCCCTAGTCTTGAAATCCTCCTTCCTGAGGAAAAGACAACTACCCTATCTGTACCCCTCATTATTTTATAAACTTCTACAAGGTCACCTCTCAACCTCCTGCGCTCCAGTGAAAAAGTCAGCCTTTCTCTTATAACTCAAACCTTCCATACTCGGCAACATCCTGGTAGATCTCTTATAAATCTTCTCTAGCTTAATACTATCCTTCTGTAACTGGGTGACCATAACTGGGCACGGTATTCCAGGAGAGGCCTTGTCAATGTCCTGTACAATCTGAATGTGACTTCCCAACTCCTATACTGAAAGGACTGAGTGATTTTGAAGGCAACCAAACACTTTTTTAACCACTATCTACTTGTGATGCAAATGTGTTTGATTCTTAACTGACCTTTTTTTGAGTCTCGCAAACTACTTCGTTTTGTACAAGGGCAACTAATTAATGGGCAATAAATGCCAGACTTGCCAGTGGTACTGCTACCTAGTGCATGAATTAACTTAGTCATAGTTGTACAGCACAGAAACAGATCCCTTGATTCAACCTGTCCATGCCAATCAGATATCCTAAATTAATCTAGTCCCATTTTTGCCAGCATTTAGCCCATATCATTCTAAACCCTTCCTATTCATGTACCCATCCAGATGCCTTTTTCAATATTGTAATTGTACCAGCCTCCTCCACTTCCTCTGGCAGCACCAATGTCTGTGGGGGAAGAAAGGTGTCCCTTTGGTCCATCTCAAATCTTCCCCCTCTTGTCTTAAACCTATGCCCCTCTAGTTTTGAGATAACAAGGTCTGATGAAGGGTCTAGGCCCGAAACGTCAGCCTTCCTGCTCCTATGATGCTGCTTGGCCTGCTGTGTTCATCCAGCTCTACACCTTGTTATCTCAGATTCTCCAGCATCTGCAGTTCCTACTACCCCCTCTAGTTTTGGACTCTCTCTTTTCCCCAGGAGAAGGCCTTGTCTATTCACTGTCCGTGCCCCTCATGATTCTATAAACCTCTATAAGGTCACCCCTCAGCCTCTGACACTCCAGGGGAAAAAAGCCCCAGCCTATTCAGCCTCTCCCTATAGCTCAAACCTTCCAACCCTGGCAACATCCTTTTAAATGTTTTCTGCACCCTTTTCAAGTTTTGCAATATTCTTCCTATAGCAGGGAGACCAGAATTGCACACAGTATTCTGAAAATGGCCTAACCAATGTCCTATACATCCACAAGATGACATTTTCACTCCTATACTCGCTGCACTGATCACTAAAAGCAAGTGTACTAAATGCTGCCTTCACTACAACCTGCAACTCTACTTTCAACTATGAACCTGCACCCCAAGGTCTCTTTGTTCATCAACACTCCCCAGGACTCTATATGAATCCTGTCCTGATTTGTCTTTCCAAAATGCAGCACCTCACATTTATCAAAATTAAACTCCATCTGCCACTCCTTGGCCCATCTGATCAAGGCCCTGTTGCAAGCTGAGATAACCTCCTTCACTGACCTCTACACCACCAATTTTGGTGTCCCCTGCAAACTTACTAACAATATCTAATACATTCACATCCCAATTATTTATATAAATGACAAAGCAGTGGACCCAGCACCAATCCTTGTGGCACACTGCTGGCCACAGGCCTCCAGTCTGAAAAAAAAATGACGCTTTTGTCTCCCATCTTCCAGCCAATTTTGGTATCCAAATGGCTAGTCCTCTCTGTATTCCATGTGATCTAACTTTGCAAACCAGTCTGCCATGCAGAACCTTGTTGAATGCTTTGCTGAAATCTATATAGACAATGTCTACTGCTCTGCCTTCATCAATTGTCTTTGTCACCTCTTCAAAAAAAACTCAAGTTAGTGAGACGTGATTTCCCACGCACAAAGCTATATTTGACTATCACTCCTCAGTCCTTGCCTTTCCAAATACATGTAAATCCTGTCCCTCAGGATCCCCTCCAACAACTTGCCCACCACTGACGTCAGGTTCATTAATCTATAGTTCCCTGGCTTTTCATTACCAACTTTCTTAAATAGTGGCACCGCATTAGCCACCCTCCAGTCTTCTACCTCCTCACCTGTGGTTGTCGATGATACAAATATCTCAGCAATCACTTTCCTACCTTCCCACAAAGTTCGAGGATGTACCAGATCAAGTCCTGGGGATTTTAGCCACCTTTAGGCATTTTAACATGTCCAGCATCACCACCATCTCTGTAATATGGACACTTCTCACGATATCTCCTGTTTACAGAAGCTAGAAAACTTGGCGAAATAATCCTTGACCACAGTCAACACTGATACAAACTACTCGTTTAGTATCTCCCCCCATCTCCTGTGGCTCCTCACAGACTGACTTGGTGATCATTTGGGGCCCCTGTTCTCTCCCTACTTTTTTTTTTGTCCTTTTTGATGTATCTTGGATGCTCCTTAACCCTATTTGCCAAAGCTTTGTAACATCCCCAGCTTTCCCCTCCTGATTTCCCTCGAGTATACTCCTACTGTCCTTGAGGGATTCACTCGATCTCAGCTGTCTATACCTGACATACGCCGCCTCCTAGTCCCATGTTTCCAACCATGCCCTGAGTTCATCTGCCTTGCCTGTTAGGCCTCTCTCATTGAAATAAATGCAGTTTATCAGTCCGTGCTCTCTCACTCGGTTGCTCCCACCCCTGATTAGCACTAGCATGTTTCCCCTCCAGAATATTGATCCCCTTCTAGTTCAGGTGCAACTCATCCCCCTTTTATATAGGTTACATATACCCCAGAAGAGATTCCAATGCTACAAAAATGCTTGACCCTGGCACCTGGGAGGCAACACACTATTCTGATGTCTTCTGTGGATGCAGAAACGTCTATCTGTGCCCCTGACTAGAGCGCTCCCTATCACCGTTGATCGCTTGGAACCTGACATCCCCCTCATTACAGTAGAGCCGGTCTCTGTGCCAGTAACCTGGCTGTCCAATGCTACACTCTCCTGAGAGTCCATGTGTTTTCCAAAACAGCGTACCTGTTTTGAGATGGAGATAGCCACCTGAGACTCCTGCCTACCTCTCCCTCTCCTTTCCTAGAGTCAACCCATCTACCTTCCTGAAACTGCCATCCATCTCACCCCTTGGTTCCTGTAAATTCCTCATTGCCTCTAACTGTTGTTCTAACCAATCCATGCAATCTGATAGGACTTGCAATCAAACACACTTCCTGATGATTAAGCCTGCAGGAATGTTGAAATTCTCCCTAATCTCCCACCTCTGACCAGGAAGAACACGTCACCCTACTGAAAGCTATCTCTGCACCTTTTAACAATCTACAGACCCAGAAAATAGCATGTTCTTGCTGCTTTATAAACACTACTCGAAGATAACTTGATACCTATATTTTATGTTTTAAAAAATTTTAATCAAGACCGATCTCAGTAAAACATAAAAATGCCCTCCCCCTAATCTCTACTATAGATTTACCAAAAAAAAATTAAGAATTAAGTTTTACAAATCTTAAATTTTTTTTCACTTTTGAAGAAAATGATCTGCACACTTGGATCAAAAAAAAAATTTGTGACAGATCACGGAGATTAGTACTGTGGATATTCAGGAGCTTGCTGATAGAACGTTGACTTTTGCTTTCTTTTCAGGAGTTATTGGCATTCAGCCCTCATAAAAGAATCTCCGCTTTTGATGCCCTACGACATCCTTATTTTCAAGGCCAAAGTCCTGAAGTTTAAGATGATCGATAGTGAGCTGAGGATAAGAAACTGCCTGTGCCTTTACCTGCAAATCATCACCTGGGTGCTACTGTTACAACTATCCTAAAGACTTGCACTCCTGGGGGTAGGGAGGGAAGAGGGGAGTCTTGCAGAAAATTGAGCATTAACCGACCAAGGACTTGTCACAGTTTGCAAAATGTTTTTCCGTCTGTTGATTTTGTGAAACTCTGTCTTGCTCCTTTGGCAAAGCGTGTGAAGCCTGAAATGTATAATTGAGTGGTTCTTTTAGGGCAGATTTCTTTTGCCCCTGAAATGCAGTCCTCAGTTGGTTAGAATGAGGTCTCTTTGCTGTATGCGTGGCATCATTTTCTTGACATGCACCAGTTAGTACATCCACTTTACATGGAAGTACAACTGGCACTAAACATGTGTTTGGAGTTTGGTGCCATCTGAGGAGGTAGTCTGTCCTGCTTCTCCAACACCTCCCCAGCCTTGCCCCTCCTAGTGGTTTTGTTTTAAAAGGTAAGTTTAGACAATAATACTCTTTTTAAACCCACTCCATTTCCATGTCAGCAAGAGTGAAAGACAGACTGTCCACCCAGAAGAGGTTTATTTAAAAACAAGATTGCAGGTTCTCCACGCTACCCAGCGACCTAATTCTTCTCTCTCTTCCCCCTGCCCCTGCTCTGTTCTGCACATCCCCCTCCACCCACCCCCCAAAAAAATAACTTTCTCAAAGGAGCTATGACCCATGAATCCTGAAATCTTTGAAATCCTATTTGAACTTGATGTCCTAAAGCGCTTCATAGCCAATGAAGTATTTTTGAACTTCTGGTCTTTTTAGGTGCATGAAACACAGCAGCCAATTTGCACAGCAAGCTCCCATAAATAGTGATGTGACAAATGACTAGATCATCAGTTTTTGGGCAGTGACTGGGGATGAATGTTGGCCCCAGGTCACCAGGGAGAACTCCCCTTCTAATCATGCCAAGGTATCCCTGAGAGGGAAGACTCCTTCAATTAAAGCTTCTTGATAGCTGCAATCTCTAATGGGACAACTTTCCCTCAATACTGCACTGGGGTGTCAGCCTTGATTTTATACTCTAGTCTCTGAGTGGGGCTTGAATCCACCACCTTTAACTCCCAGGCAGGGATGCTACCCACTGAGTCACAACAGCCTGCAGTTATGGACATGTAGCTGGTGGAAAAATGCATATGGAAAATCCCATGTCTCCTTGTGTTGTATTGTTTGTCATCTTGGCTGAGCCACTTCCATGTAGGTTGGCTTAAACTTGGAAAACCTGTAGATTTGCAGCTACTCTGTCTCCTGTCCAATCCCTTCACATTGAGGAGCAAGCATTATTTTAGGAGGTGGTTATTGTTACTGGAAACACTTTGATTATGACCAGTTGATCAGTCATTTGGCATTATAGAAATTCAGTATGGTTGCAAAAAGTATTCGTTGTCAAAGCTCTTAATCTTGTACTCATCAGAACAATTTGCAAGAATCTCAATTAGAGGGGAAACCTGAAATTTATACCGCATGCATTTTACACACGCTACCTGTTTTGATGGCTGCCAGTTATTTTGGTGCATTGGAGTCCATCAGCATTCTCGTCTCCTACAGTATAAATATTGGTTTCCTTCTGTTTTGGTATTTCAAGGATATTGTCCTGTAAAGTACAAGATGAAAAGCTTTGACAAAATGTATATTTTACATCAATACTCGTTTTATTTCTCCCTTGCCTATCAACTAGTCAGTTTTACCACAATTAAAGAACTGTGCAACATGGTTTTGAAATTACACGCTAAAACCACCTTGCCAAGTCGTCTTTTACTGGTGCATGGGAGCTGTGCTTGGCAGTAATTTTGGGGCACATTAAGTACCCTATTTGTAGTACTCTATGTCCGATCATGCCAATTATAGCCACTAACAGTCTTAATAAAGACTTCTTAACATTGAAGATCAATCTGTGGTTTACTGGAAATGGAATCTTTACACTGTTGTATAGTCATTGGGTTACAGAAATACAAGTCGAGCTCCAGGACAGCAGCACTTCACTGAAGTAGATTCTCTAGCCATTGTAAAAGGTCCTTTCACTACAGCATAGTGTTTATAATTACAGAATTGTTCTGGCACCGGAAGAGGAAATTTCAGCCTGTTGTTTGCACAGACTTTCTGATTTTTGAGCACTGTGTGCTATTCTGCCACCTTTTTTCTTTCCCAATAACATTGAATATTATTTCTATTTAAATCATATGATGCCCTCTTTGCCTCAATTCAACATGCCTCATCCACACTTCCAGGCAATCTGTCCTTAATCCATTTGAGTGGGAACAGTTTCTTCCTATCCACTCTGCAGCCTCCTCGTGATTAAAAGAATTTCTGTCTAATCTCCTCTTGGTCTTCTCTCCATGGAAAGCATTCCAATTTCTCCAATCTGTCATTGTTAAACTGAAATCTCTCATTCCTGGAACCATTCTTGTATAACTCTTCTACACTTTACAATGTGTTCACATCCTCTCTGAAGTGCGGTCAGAACCTACCAGTAGTCCAGTTGAAGTCTAACCAGTGTCTTTATACAAGTTGAGCATAACCTTGCTCCTATACTCTATTCTAGGATTTATTAATAGAGACAATGTATGCTTTACTAACTGCTCCTTTCACCTGTCCTGCTACCCTTCAATGACTTCTATACATGTACACCCAAGTCTGTCTGCTCCTGCACACCCTTTAGGGTAGTGCCTTTTTGTTTTGTACTATCTCTTGCTATATGTTCTTTACTACCAAAAAATGTATCACCACCCACTTCAACTTGTCAATATCCTTTTTTTTTTCTAATTTTTACCCTGGCCACCTCCAGTTTACAACGCTTCCAAGTTTTTGTCTCTTCTGCACATTTCCAAATTGTCCCCTGCACGTTGCGGTTTAGACCATTACTATATATGAGGAAGTGGGTCCCAAAATTAACTAACTAGGGAATAGTAGAACAAACCTTTCTCCAGCCCAAAAACTAGGCATTGACTTTTTTTTGGTTGTTGTTCGCTCCCTATCCCTCAGCCAGTTTTGTATCCACGTTTCCATTGTCCCTCTTTTTTTCCAT